GAAAACGTAGTTTAACAGTTTTTAGTCAACAGCGCCATCCATTGATAAACTTTATGACTAATTTTAAAGCTTGGTGAGAATAAATAACTAGAATCCTTAGCAGAATGCAGCAAACAGTACATTTTTATAGTCTTTCTCAGTTGATGAATAAGTATTAATCATGTAACAAAATCATTGGGAATTTAAATGATTGAGTCAAGGGTTATTATTATTATTATTATTATTGTTATTGTTATTATTACTATTATTAATAATAATAATAGCACTTTATAAACGCATATATCATACACTGCTTATGCTTTTTAAAATATTTATATAAGTTATGTATAGATTTTTAACATTAAAAACTTGTTTCATACCTCCGATAAGATTTTTTTGTTACTTTGATTGATTACTCATAGACTTTCAAAAAGAAATTGTGACGCATGGGTAAAATATTTTGATTTCAATTACTGGTAAAAAAAATCATGGACACAATCATTATGGCAAATGGGTTGGTATGACTTTTTTTACGAACTTTATTCATTTCCGAAAATTTGGTCACGCAACACATATTGCAACCATCAGAATTTATTCCTATACTATCTCTATAACGTTATAAAGTTAAGTTCAAATATGTGCAATTAGCATCATTAAATTTCCAAAGCGTATAAACCCTCAATCCCAAAATCCGTTGAGCTTGGAGGCCATTCCTATTTTAACTGAAAATCAGACAGATTTTCTCTGCCAGACAGATGTTGAACTATATTCCCAATATACGAAGAAGCATTCTCTGGCTGATAGCCTTAACATCGCACAACAAATTTAAACAACAAAGTTAAAACTTTCTCCCAAACCTGTTTCATACAGACTTAAACACATCTTTTAACTTTTTAATAAAGATTCTTTTTATCGTAAATTAATACTAATCACAATAGATGGTTTTGAGGTTTATGGCTTTATTCCAGTGCAAAAGATTTCTCATCGAAGAAGACAAACTCATTCCTTACCACTAGTAGCTCTAACTTCATCCCATTCTGTGAATTTTTTAAGACTTTACATCCATTTGTCTCTAATACTTCATAAAATTTTTCGTCATAAATTATTAGACATCAGGATTTTTATTCAATTCTTACGTATAAGTATGCATAACAATATAACGATATAAATACTATATAAGAACTTGTTTACCACTCTGTGCAAAAATTTACAAGGAATTGTAAAAATTTATAAGAAACTCGCTAAAAATAGTGTCCGTTTCTTTAGTACTTTCCCCTAATTATAAAAAAAAATATATACAGTAGAACCCGTTTAAGAAGTTTTTCAAGGGAGTGGAAAGAAACGACTTATTAAACGGGAAAACTTATTAAACGGTGAAACTTAAAAACACATTAATAAAAAACTAAAAAATTTGAAATTGTGTAACTTATATTAAATTCTCAGCCTAATGAAATAAATATTGAATTTTAATATTCATTTAGAAAAAAAATTGCTAATAAATAAAAACAAAGTAACCTACTTTATTTTTTGTTTCATACAATGTAATATACGTTGTTACAATAATTGACTAGATTTCTGTGAGAAAAAATCGTGTAAAGTGGTTTGTTTTTGTCTTTTCTCACCTACCTTTAAGTGAAAATTGTCCAACTGCTGTAAAAATTTAAACATTTCCGGGGGTACATTTTCAACAGTGTAAATAAATTTCCTAAAAGTATCCAGCCCTTTCCTGGCATCAGAAAAGCTAGGTGGTTTAGCAATATCTTCTTCAGTTTCACTGAATTCTTCTGTATCATTTGTAACATCACAAATATCCTCTAATGTCAGCATATCACAAGGTAAAATTTCGTCGTNTAAAATACATATATATATATATATATATATATATAAAATTAAATATATAAAAATTAAAAAATTAAAATAAATATCAGAAACAATTCTTTCTTTCTCAAAATAAATTCTGCAAATGCATTACAAAACTATGTATATTTGAGATGCTGCTCTATACAGTCTGAAAAAAATTTGAAAAACACCTTTTGTAAAAATATAATTTTTCCTTATGGAAATCCCATTTTTTATTTTATTTTTTAACATTATCTATTGCGAAATGATGTTTCAAAAAAGTAAACATTTACTCAAAAAAGGGAATTTTTGATATTAAAATGCATTCACAAAACTACTGATATACCCTTAGGTACTTTTTAGTCCTCAGCCTGTAATTATGACACAAAACAACCACATTAATAAATGTATTCCATGTTAAAATTCCTCATCCACCGGATTAACCATGTTTTTATGCAAAAAAAAATCAGTTGCAGTGTCTTGTTGTTCAAAACTTACATGAAAGTCAATTTGCCCTGATACTTGATTCAGGAATTCCATTGTCTTCTGTGTTGGGTTAACATTTAGAAAGATACGACGGAGAAAGCGGAGAGTGGATATATTGTTCTCCAACTGTAATGAAATAAGGAAAAAAACTTATTCACAAGAATAAAAATTTCATTTTGCAAAAACGATAGCGTATATGAATATGCCCAAGTATACTCTCGTACTATCCAATTCACATCACTGGTTAATTTGAACAGAAATGGTTGACAAATACAGGGTTTTAAGTAATCACTGTCTTAAATATGTATTTTTAATATCCTTGTCAAAATTGAAGTCATTGACAAGTTCCTTGTCAAGTCAAAGTTCCAAAGTTGTCAAGACAAATTCCTTGACAAGTTCCTTGTCAAGTCAAAGGATCTTAAGTTGGTATGAAGTGATATTAATATTGAGTGATATTGAAACGGTGTTGTTATTCAGGTGGGGAAGAAACAGATACATAGACGAAAACTGTCGAATCGCTAGAGATAAAGATGAGAGGGAAAATATTAAAACTAAGTTAAGTACCTGATAGAAATTGGAAGGGTTTCTAGGAATAATTCCCCTGTTTTTCCGATAGTCAAATAGGTTATAAACATTCTTTGCTTGAAAATTATTCAACAGCGTTTCTGCTTCGTAACTGTTTAATTAAATACAAATTTTCGAATGTGTCTACTTTTAAAAATAAATCTAAAGGTGTATGTTTAAGACAGTTATTATGAACAACCTGGATAACAAAATGCATACTTAAATGTGCAACTTGAGAAGATCTAGTTAAAACACAAATGTTATTCAAATCATTAGTTACTCTTGGCTCTATTAGCACAATATTTAAAATCAAAAACACTTTACTTTAATTAAAGGGTATAATATTCGCAAACAAAATGTAAAATAATTTAAAAAATTGAATGCTTGTTAACAAAATTTTCAGAACTTGAATTAAGTCGTCAATCTTGTGTCGTTTAGATATCAAAGAACATGAGTATTAAATAAATATTATCCTTTTTTAATATTTTAGTTATACTTAAGTTTACAGGAGCCTACCCATCCTGTTTGCGCCATCTGGCATATAAGGTCTCAAATGTCTTTTTTCCCGAGCAGCCCTGTCCTCAATTAATTCTCTTGTTTCCTCCCATCCATTTAGTTTTACTTTGCACAGATCTTGGCGCATGTATCTTTGCCAAGTAAGTCTCGGCCTTCTTCTTTAGCGTTTTCCTTCGGGTGCTCAATTAAGTGTCATATATAAGCAGAGGTATATAGCTTTAGACGGTGTTGTTGTAGTTCATTTACGTCGCACTGTGTGTGGAGCTGAGCTATGGGCTATTAGCGACGGTCTAGGAAACATCCCTGAGGATGATCCGAAGACTTCGTTTTAGACGAAGGATATGCCCAGTCCATTTACAGCAGGTTAATCTGACACAAAATCAGTTTTACAAAAGTTAAGACAAAAATCTTATTCAAACCGTACGTCCTGTTTTTATTTAAATAATTCAGAATTACTTATAATTTACAATTTTAATAAAAAGGTAGTAAAAGTAAAGCGGTGCTCGATTTGAGAGTTTTACGCGGGAGAGTATGGATGGTGTTTTCAATATAAATGTAAGCAATAACAACCTCGAGCTCTATACCTGCTCTAGTTCCGGTTAGAAAGTTTGCAACTGCTTACTACAGCTTATTCTGCCAGGAGATATTTTTTGTTATTGTTGTTGTTATAGTTAATTTACGTCACACTAGAGCTGCACAATGGGCTATTGGTGACGGTCAGAGAAATATCGCAGAGGATGATCCGAATTTAAGCCATCACAATTTTGATCCTCTGCAGAGGGGATGGCACCCCTGCTTCGGTAGCCCAACGACCTGCACGCGAAGTCGAGCACTTTTCGATAGAACAGTTTAACGAGGACCAATACCGCGCACCCTCGGTCCCTACGCAGACTGATCCAAGTGGTCACCCACCCATGCTTGACTTCGGTGATCTGCTGGGAACCGTGTCTTAACGATCAGTCCACTGTGGGGCTGCGATATTTTGAAACGGATAATTTTGCTTTCAATAAACGAAGTAAATTAGATAATTTATGAACTCAAATCTGCCGTATTTCATAAGATATTAATGTTATTAAGTAATTCTGGTGAGTTTGAAGTGAAAATTTGTTTTAATTATTTATAAATATATTGTTTAAAAAGGTGACATGGTTGCTAGATTTCGAATAACTCGCTTTCTTGGCAGTCCTGATTTGGGCTCTTTCCATTTGTTTATTACTGTTTGTTCTTGCTGCAAGCTGTGCACCATCTTATGTTAGTGTATGTAAACACAAGTAATAAGTATTAAAATACCACATTTGCAAGAATCTCAAACACAATGATCACGTTGTGGGCTAAATGGCTTTAAAATACACCGGAAACAGTAACCCGGAAGTATAGGCGGTATGGAGCTTGCAGCGTTCCCTAGTGAGGAAAACACCTTCCATATTCACCAATCAGCTTCTCATTCTCGCTCGACAGTGATTCCAAATGCGTGAATTGCATGTAGTAAGAATGACTCTTAAAATAATGCAAATATTTAACTACAACTCAGCTTTTCATCGACTAGTAGCGCCACTAGACGTTTTTAAACGAAATCATTATAAATTTAGTTAACATTTGTGTGCTAAATATGCCTAATGAGGAACAGAAGTAAGCCGCCAAAAGCTTTCTGAAACAAACAAACATCTAAATCCGAATCTAAACTAGCAGACTGTTTTGTTTTCATATTCGCCCCAAATTTTTAAGCGGCGAAGCTTAAGATGGCTATGATAGCTAAACATGAACCAATAAGTTTAGAAATAAAAACTAAATCTATTGAAAAAACTCTAATTCCTCTTGTGACGCAGGTTATTAATATTTTATTTTATATTATATTTTTGTAAACCATTGTGTTGATTCAGAAAATTTCATGGAACTGTCAAAAATCATAACTGATTATAAACATTAATGATGATAGTTATAAATAACTATTTACATAATTGTTAACTTATTTAATTATTTTATATTTTTTTTAATTAATATGATTATTGATTATATTCCGTACGCTTTATCCAAGAATTTTAAGGCAAATAATAATAAAATGATACTTTATTTATTACTTTTTTTCTTAACCTCGAAATGTTTATTAGGTAAAAAAAAATTTCAATTGACCTAAAAATTTTGCTGAAATTTATTGAGATTTGAATAATATTGATTTGAATATAAATGTTTAATAAAAATCTGCGAATGGAGATAATTATTTAAAAGGATTATAAAATATTTTTTATTTTCCAACAACTTAATAAAAAATAGTTTGAATTACTTATTAGTTATTATCATCAGTTGAAAAACTACTTAGAAAAAATGATGGTTCAATATCGTTAAATTAATAGATTGCTGATATTGAGGTGATATATACATCTTAAGTTATTTGGTTTTGCTTTTTTTGGCCAAACATTTTGATATTACTTGTTTTCTACTATTAAAATTTGAGACCTTTGTATTGTTATAACTAATTATTTGTTGTTCAAGTGGACATAATTTGTAATTTCCAGTAATTATTTTGAAAGAAAAGCTTAATATGTTGTACTTATTAGATAATACAGAAATCTATATTGTATCTTTACGAATTTCTCTTAGTTCAGAAAAAAAAAGTTAAAATATTGATTTTTTTTTCTTTTTATTACTCCTGAACTTACTTATAAACAACAGCTATTATTGTTTTCATTCGTAGAGAAGTCTGTAACATTTTGTTGATAGTAATCAGTATCAAATATGCCAATTCACTGACATTACTCGACAAATCATACTTTCTTTGGATTAGAGATTATCTTTATTTATCTCTTGGGATAATCATATGGCATATTTATGGATTTCAGAGTCGTGAGTTGAAATGTTAAGGCTTATTAATATTTAATTATTTGAATCTCTTCACTTAAGTCAATTTTTTGCACACTTGCACTTTATTTAAATGTAATTTTTGTGACATCAAAATTTTGAGAATAAAAATATAAAGTCTATCATATTGTGTTGTTATTCATTGTCTATTTTATGCAACCATTCTTTTTTTTTCAGAATTTGTAAGGTTATTAATCAAAAATAATGAATGTGATCTAAGAAACCATTGCAAAAAGTAGACAACATAGTATGTGTGACTGGAGTATTTATGCATATTTAATAATATATATAATATTGATGGCACAAAATTTTGATTAAAATAAACTGCAAAACTAATACTGAAAAGTTTTGAAAAATAAAAATTTCTGGATATTAAAAAACTTTATTGTTTCAGCTAGCAGCTTTGCTATAAAGCGATATATCACACTTTTGCTGCAAAAAAAAGAATAAAGATAATCTCTAACGTAAATTAAATGTTTTTAGGTGGATAAAGCTAGTAGATTGGCATATTTGATGTTGTTGATCCAAAGAATGTTACACACATTGTTTATCAAAACAACAAGATAATTGTATTTCCTTTGGGTAGTTTGTGTAGACTTTGGGTACTGATTTTTAGTTATTTATCATTAAAATATTTAAGGGGTACCTATGTACCTAAAACATTAAAGAATAAAATATAAAGGTATCTAAAATATTTAAGGAGTTTTACTAAGACTCCAGACCTTTTAATGTTGGGATTCAAACCTTCACTTTTATAAGTGAAGCAATATCTTGTCACATGATTTGATTTGTGAGAAGGAGTACACAATGGTTTTATGTTCTAATTAACTTTAATTAGAAAAAATCTAGTGTTATCTACTAGCTAGAAAATTTTTACAATTCGCTTTTTATTTTACTGTGTACTTGTATTTACATTGATATGATTTTCTTTAGTGCATAGCTTTGTACCGGAAACGTGCAAAATATAATTTCATCAAAATGAGTTTGAAAGAATAAATGTTGTTTATATTTTATTACCTCTTTTATTTTCACCCTTGCAATATTGTTTGGAAAAGTATTCATAATTTGATTTACATCCCAATATAGGGAGAGCTAAAGAGAAATTTAAGAATGCGAATTACTGGCTTTAGTTATTTAATTTGGTTGCAAGGTCAGATCAAGGTGCAATTAGTGCCCTGGAACCAATGGAACTAGTTTCTAGTTAGTTAGAGGACTTAAAATTCAACTGGAACTCTGTATTAGATAAAAATTACTGAAATAAATGTGAATTGTTTAAGATATGACAGAAATTTTAAAAAATATTTTACAATTTCTCATGAAATTGGTACAAATATCTCAAGTTAAGTTATTTTAAAATATTTATATTATACTTTTAGCAAAAAATGTTATTTTCAAATTTGTACTACGTATTGTACAGTTCAGGGATGCACATGTATTAAAAATAAAACATTGGTAGTTGTAAAAATCTCGTAATCATGTTTCAGGCTGTTATATTTTAATTTTATTGTTAAAAAGTACATTATTTGAGAATAACTCATTATTTATCAAAATGAATGATTGATCACACATAAATAAGATATAGATTAAAAGATATTGGTCAGATTGTGTTACCTTTTTTTAGAATCCGTTAACTAAAGTCCTCCATGCCTCATATTGTATGATTTAGAAATTACTGTTTTACATTAAAAATTACTTTGTAACCCTGCTTAAACAGGAAAAAAATTAAAAATGCATGGGTTAAAAAAATCTTACAAGTATTGGAATCCATTAATTGAAGGTTGTATCTAAAAAGAATATGTTGCACTATATTTTATTTTTATTTGTAGCATTAAAAACTACTTTTTTAAATCTTTCTATTTAAGAGATTTATATTATATTATAGTTGGTTATTTCAAATTATATCATAATGTCTTTTAGATAACAACTTTAGTTCATGCAAAAGAAAAGCCAATTAAATCTGAGAAAACATTAAGAGCTATAGTACATGTGGGCCAAGCTGTGAATTTTGCAGTTCAAAAATTTGTATCAGTAGGAGAAGCAATTGCTGATGATAACCATGAAATCAAATCTGACATGTATGAGGCATGCAAAGATGCAAGGACTTCTGGTAATATTTTTTTCCATATATTAACATACTTAATACATACAAAATTCAAAGATAGCATTTATAGAAACAATTTTTTTGAGAAACTTACTAGTTGTGGCTAATATGATTGGTTATACAGAAAAGACATTTGTATAAACTAATAAATTGCTTAAAATCTTTTAGCCACTATTATTTTTCACTTGGTCATTTCGGATTTTCCAGATTTTAATTTTATTCAAAATTTTATATTTCTGAATAACTTTAAAACCAAGTGCATAGTTTTTGTTATTATTATTTGTCTAGCATTATATTCTCTTATAATTACTGACAGTTTTGTATAGTCTATTTACTTAAGGGATTTGAAGAAGAAAAAAAAGAAGAGAAGAAGCATTCCTTACATTTTGAACTCAATTAGAAGACATGAAATTTCCTATTTTAAGACAGTAATACTTTTTTCATTATAATTAAAAAAGTTTTGTATTTCTTAAATAGAACAATGCTTTTCTATTTATCTGCATCTAACTGGTGATAGTTAATATAGTGGAGCTTAGATAACATTGTCTGTAGATCTAGCATTGTGTCCTCTGATCCCAGCTATTCGCATATCAGCAATACTTAAATAGATATATAATGTATATAATGTATATGATTAAAATTGAAAGATTAAGAAAAGAAATCTTGAAAAAGGTTTGAAAAGTTTTAAAACCTAATGGGAATACTTTTTTTCTTTTCAAATGGATGGCATATCACATTTATGGGTCTAATTTTTGTCACTTTTGTCTGATTTACTTTTACTCTTTTATTAAAAAAAAGCAAAATACACTAGTTATTTAGTATCAATACAGATTTAATGATGATTCAATTACATTCAATTTCCTAAATTATGTAATTTTATAAAAATAATACTCTGAAGAATTAATTTTGCTTCATAATCATGACCATAACATTAATTATTATTAGATTTAAATGTTACAAACGAGGATAATATCAACATTGTTGACCAAAACGATTAAAGGAACTAATTGTCTGGAAATCAACTAGTTTCTTTAATCAAACATTTATATAAATACAAAATAAAACATTTACGTAATTTAACAAATTTAGTTGAATTAATGGATTTAAAAGAATTTTTAGTAGTATTTATTTATCCAAAAAAAAAAAAATTGCCTACTTTTTCTAACTTTAATTAAAAACGAATTTTAATCCTGCAAATTTGATTAAATTCTATACAAAATAATTGGATTAAAATGAAATATTAAATATGAGACATTATTTAAAAATAGTTTTGAGATTTTTTAATATCTATTGTTGCTGCCACGTTTGGATTAATATGATACGTTGTAATTCCCTGGCAAATTAGTACACAATTATGAAAGGAATGCTTATTATTACAAATTATTTTATATTTAGCCAACTACTCACATTTATTTATGGTAATAAGCACTATTTGTTAAATGTTATTAAATTCTATGAAAATCATTGAATTGAAATATATTCAAAATACAACTTTTTATTAATAATAATTTTTTGAGCTATCCAGTTTAATATGACTGATGCCTTGTGCAATACACTTTTANTCAACATTTCTTGTGCAGATTTATGTTCATACAAATTTGAAAATAGTAAAAATTCATCTACAAAGTTTTCCTCTAAATCGGATGAGTAAATTTTCACCAAATTTTGCGCTTTTAGTTTAATCTCAGATTCTGACAAATTTTTGTGAACAAGAAAACCGAAATTATCATACAAATCACTGTAAGCTTTACGCCTTTTAGTCATTTCTGAAATTAATGCATCTAAAATGGCATAATACGTTCCTGACAAAAGCATTTGTCTTGGATTCGAGTTTGAACTTCTTGTTCTTCTGTTATGTCGAAAAATCGAATCATAGTGGTATTATCGATATCAACTGCAATATCAGCAGTATGTCGGCATTGCAGATAAAGTTCGATAAACAAATTCGTAAATTAAAATCCATATTAATAAAAATGTAAAAAAAAAATATGCAAGAAAATTTTAGCATATATTTTGAAAAGAGGGAAGGAGGGGAGGGCCCAAAAAGGGTAAGCCTAGGGCCTACGAAAGGTATAATCCTGCTCTGGCTACCGCTCAGCCACCGGGCGTCAATTTTGGTTGCTAAGCGTTTAAAATAAATTAGTTTCACATTTCTAGTGGTTTGTTACATTTGAAAGGGTTAATCCACCCTTTATGCATTTTTGCATGTTTTGTTTTGAATTTATTGCGCCGTTTTTAGTTGATTAAATTATGTTAATAAAAAAAGCAGTCTCTTTTTTCGATAATCCTCATTCTATTATATTAATATATTTTGTTTTGGCGATATTTATATAATATCAGAAATCATTTTGTATGGATATAACCATGTGAGTGGAGATAAAGGTTAAATTTTTGGCTAATTAATCTTTATTTTAATAAATTAATAAAATAATTTTTTAAATTTTTTATCAAGTATTTCTTATTAAATATTAAATTTATTTATTTCTTTTAAGTTATCTTTTATTATTTCTTATTAATTTCTGGAATTTTTTTCATGTTTAGAATATTTTATTATAAATAGTTAATTAAATATTCTAAAACTAAACTATTCTATTATTAATTGGTTATTTTTCGATTTTGTTATGTAATTGTTTTTATATTTGCTTCTAGGTGCTATGATTGAACGACTATGTGATGTACAACCTGATGAATGTGGTCAATTAAGGTCATATGCTGATAAAAATAACATGGTTAGAGCTGCCAGAACCCTTCTTTCTTCTGTGACTAGAGTTCTTTTACTTGCTGACACAGTAGTTATTAAACAACTTGTTTCATCTAAAGACCGGGTATGGACTATAAACAATTTTTAATAGCACGCATAACGTTTGGATATGCTATTCGTTTTATTATGTGTATCATTTGTTGAATTACTTAGTACTTTATATGACAACTAATGCTTAATTCCATTTGTACGTGAAACATATTTTCTTTCAGTATGAAATTATTATTTATAATTTATGTATATATGAAATTATTGCTTATTTTTTTATACATATATTTGTAATTAATACGTATAATTATATGCTCTATACCTATCTGTACTGCAGGTATATGCTCTGTACCTGTGGTATAGAGTGCATATTACTTTTTCTCCATGGGACACATGCATTTTTAATCCTTCTTTCCCCGGAGTTACAAATTAATATTTCTCTCTTTAAATTTGCTGTAGAATGAAACAAAATATTCATTAAATGTAACTACAATGAACTATTCTACCAGATCTTGATCAAAAAGAATTCTGTTAATTGTGTGTAATAATAGAGACCATTTTTTTGGAAAATTACATTATTATTGTAATACTTCTATTTAAGGCTTCCTTGAAAAAACTTGGGATTTATTTTTTTATAATAATTTGTAATTTTTCATTGATTTTATGCAAAATTTTTAATTTCGTATGTATTATTATATAGTCAATTTTTCCGAAATATTGAATTAAGTTGTTTATGTAATAGTTTTTCAATTTTTTTCTTAGGTCTCTATTAGTTTGAACCGTTTGGAACATGCAATGAACTTTACAGAGTTTGTTAAATCTTTTAGTCAATTTGGTAGCGAAATGGTTGAGCTTGCTCACCTAACTGGTGATAGACAAAATGTAAGTAATATAATTTATTTTACAAATGTATTTTATGCTCAATATTGGAAATATGTTGAGATCCCATTCGGTGTTTATTCATCATTTAATGGACAGAAACTTTATTTTATTCGAATCTTGACTTTTAAAAATGATACTTTTAACGCTAAACTTTTTTTACAACAAGTTGTAAATAGATATTAATTTCTGGATACATTTTTCTTGGTGTATTTACTGACTGATTGAAAGAAAGAATTATGTGAAAATGAGGGAAATATAACTGAAATTTAAGAAATATTTTAAATTTTTTTTATAAAAAACAGCAATTGAATGGTATAAAGGTTTAAACATATTTGTCTTTTCAATAATTTTTATTTTGAATATGCAGTTGAAATACTAGTATTGGACTATAAATTCTTTTACCTTATACCTCCAAGCATAGAGCCTTTGTACAAAATTGTACTGGCATTTCCCTGCTGGACACTAATTAAATAACTTTGAGAAAACCCATTTATTGATACAGGAAAGTGGCTAGCTAAAACTACAGAAATACTAGGATGAATGCTCAGAGGATTCCTGGAGGAAAAAAAACTTTTTTTATACATACGAGAAAGTGGGCTAAATATTTGAGGGGGTGAAATTGACACAAATACTTGATTTAATACAGTTTTCATTGAAACTGGAGGTTTCAGCTGAATTTGTCACTTAATAAATACCAGTTATGCATGGTTTATACCAGGGCTGTCTAGCTGGCGACCCGCCAACACATATTGTGCGGCCCGTCAACTTCTTATTCAGGCTGATCGGCCTCAGTTTTCCCATTAAAATGTAAGCAAATTGTTTTATAATCCTTCTGTTCCATTGTTTTATAATTAATAATTCAACTATTAATTGATATTGTGTAAGAGGTTATTGTTCAGCTTTTGCAAACTGCGGCCCGCCAGGTGATCAGTGACCGGAATTCTGGCCAGTGGGCTCTTTGCAGTTGGACAGCCCTGGTTTATACAATCATAAAACTAATATATGATTTAATTTTTTTTTAATAGCATTGAGTTTACTAAAAGCAAAAATTTTTCCCTTCACCTTTTTTTGTAAGAATTTCTTTCAAGGCAACTAATGTGTCATATTTGTAATAAAAAAAATTGAAGAAAATTGTGGTTTATAGTGAGCAAGATCATTTCAAGTTACTTCTAAATTGAAAAAAAAAAACATTTACAAGAAAACATCCACATTAGTGTTAAGTTTTGCTGCCTCTAGCACTGGAAAATATTAATGACTATATGAGCCGCTAATTTATTAACTGTAATGTTTAATTAATAATACTCGGTACTTGGTTTGTTCTAAATCCATCTTATTATTATTCTAAAATCTGTAATTGTAATTCTCGCTCAAGTCTGCATGAGTTAGTTTTGGTCTGCATGAGTTAGTCTGCATGAGTTAGTTAATTTCACGCATGCATTAATATACTTACAGGGAACAATTAAGGGGCAGGCAAGAAAAATTTTTGTAAAAAAGTTTTTGAAGTGGCATCCTAATATTTATATATGTGTGTGTGTTTATTTTAATGTTAAAGTTATATGCTTCTCTATGATTAGGATTTAAAAGATGAGCGTCGACGTTCACAAATGGCTGTAGCTAGACAGATTCTTGAGAGATCCACTATGCTTCTTCTTACATCATCAAAGGTAATGAATTATAGCAAGTTGTTCATAAAAATGGGAGGGAAAAGATCGTCATGATTCAAGTTTTAGAAAAGTTAGTGTTTTGGTGCTAGTTAAATATTAAATGATAAATTTTTTCAGAGCCTGTTCTAATTATTTTGTATTAGTAATGAAAAATACTTTGTAATGGGTGAAAGTTTAAGACAAGTGTAACAGTGTTTATGAAACACTGTTACACTTGATAATACAAAATTATATTTTAAAGTCAAATATTAAAATAACTGTAATTTGGAATATAATAACTTCTTTAGACTTATAGCTTATAATTAGAGTTAAATATAGTTTTTTCAATACTACATCATTTTAAAATTTTATTTTATATCATTTATAAATGTTTTATAAATATAGTTTCTAAAAACGTTTAAAGATTTTTCTAGAACTCCAGATTTTCAAATAAAAATTTTTCTTTCAATTAATTAATTAAAAAAAGTTCTTAAAACATTGATGACTTAAAAATTCAAATTTCAGTACAAAACAGTAAGCTATACATTTGTATTTCTTTCTCTGTATTTCAGGAATTCATCTTATTATGTTTAATTAATAAATCTTCTTAAAAAAATTTCTATGATGTAAAAAATTACTTTCTACAACTAGTATAAAAAATATTTTAGCTTTTTGTTATTTTATTTTTTTCAATTATTTGTAATGCTTGCATCAAGTTTTTTTTTTCGCAGTTGGTAAGTGATTTTATGCTGGTGCTTTTAGGATTTTCACTGAAGGAAAAAATATAAAAAATCATGCTTTCTAAATTAATGTAAACATTCCATTTATTGTTTCTTATGAAATTGCCCATTTAAAGTAAAGATCATAGCCTGCAGGTCACTATGTACTATTCTGTTGAGACATTTTAATAAAAATAAAGAAAAAATTTAAGAAATTAATTAAGCCTCTAAAAATCTACTTATATAGCAAAAATCTTTCTTTTTTTTAAATCTAGAAATGGCTCAGAACCAGTTTTATTAACTTCTTAAAACTTGGAAACATCCACTAATTAAAGCATTCAATATTAATGTGTCAAAAAAGCATCATTACTTTAATTGATAAAATGAAACATTTTAGAAATATTTCAAATATTCCCAACTTGAACTTAAGAAATAAACTTTGCACTAAATTTACTAAAATTTGATATGGTAATTTTAAACAAATTTAGTTATTGTGTTGTTCCCTACAAAAATATTTATCAACAAATTAAGTGCATGGATATTGATATATTTATAGTAGACGATTTTGATGTTTCAAATTGTAAATGAAAGTGTTTTACTATTAAAAAAAAATTTAAAAAGAGTATTGTGCATTTTAAAGCCTAGTAAAATCATTATGATCAGTTATTTTTTGGCAGCTTATAAGTTGTTATTCGATATAAATGATACCATTCGAAAATTCGATCAAATGATACCATTTATATATACTGATAATATTAATACTTAAAAACATTATAGTGTATTCAAATGTTTGCAAAAAAAATTTTTAATTAATAATTTTAATTACTGAACCACATATTTCTATCTCTTTTTTTCAATATTTTCTTATCCTGATATAATGTTTGTAAAATATATTTCTGTTTTCAAATTAGTTTATTAACATAATTTTTGTACTTTTTGTTATTTTGAATTCTTATTTTGAAAATAATTAATTTGTGAGTAAAATGTCAGATATCAATTATTTTTAGACATAAAAAGGTGTAAAATATTAAAAGGGAAGCTTAGATATCAGCTTCGAAAACAACTTTCACAGGTTTTATGAGTACTTTCAAGTTATTATCAAAGCAAAAGGTTAATACAAAAATTAAAAAAATAGGTGCAAAGTTACCACTTCTTTAAAGAGTCTTAATCTTTTCTGAAAAATTTTTTTAAAAAATGGTTCTATGTTAATAGTAAACTGCTACATAATATATTTAATAAGACTATTATACTTTGCCTGGAAGATAATGACATTATAGTTTTTGTTCATTTATAGTACTTTTGTAATTTTAATATTGAAGCATAATTTATCTGTTTTCTTGTTTAAAGAAGTATGTTTTAACGTAACAATTATTCTTCAAAGCTGCTCAATTTATATGCTATATTTAAAAGTTTTCATGCTTTTATATTGGTGTTTTTTGGTAGGTAATAAATAAATAATTAATAAATTAATAATTCATTTCCATTATACATCAACCTTTTTTTTAAAATATGTTTCTTTTTTTAATTCTTCCACCTTTTATATGGTAGCATTCTTATGTATAAGAGTTAGAAAGTATAAGAGTGTGGATTAACAGTTTATTATTGATATTTTAATATTTGATATTAGGTCTGTTTTCGACATCCTGAGTGCACATTTAGCCGAGAAAATAGAGATGCAGTATTTCTTCAGATGAGACAAGCTATTGAAATCATACATTTTGTTGCAAAAGATGGAATCTTAGCAGATCATCCTAATGAACTTCAAGCTAACCAAAATAATAGGGCTCACAATGCTATTTCTGTGTTGTTATGCACTGAAGAGCTTGAACAATGCACATCACTGTATAATGCTATCAAACATTATGAAGTAAGCTTACTGATACTTTTTTGTGTCGTTTCGATTTATTAAGAAATGGTTTAAAAATCAATTAAAAATAAATAATTGTATTATTTTAATAAATAATAATATTATTATTATTTTTCGTTTTAAGAGTGACTATACCATTTAAATTTTTATATGCTCTTTAGTGAAATTAAGCAGAACTTTCTAAAAACATTATTAAGCTCATCTTACATTACTCCGTTCTTCAATTATTATAATAATTTTAAATGTCTCTTGGTAAAATAATTTCCATCTTTGAGTTAGAAAACGACAAAATTGTGTCATTTTGTCTTTTTTGTGTCATTTCAATTTATTAAGAAATGGTTTAAAAATCAATTAAAAGTAAATAATTGTATTATTTTAATAAATAATAATATTATTATTATTATTCGTTTTAAGAGTGGCTATACCATTTAAATTTTTATATGCTCTTTAGTGAAATTAAGCAGAACTTTCTAAAAACATTATTAAGCTCATCTTACATTACTCCGTTCTTCAATCATTATAATAATTTTAAATATCTCTTGGTAAAATAATTTCCATCTTTGAATTGGAAAACGACAAAATTAATAATAATTTATCAGTATTATTCTTAGTTGTCTTAAAGAAAATGTCAGCATTGAGAATAAAATAAAGGAAGGTAGAGAAATCAAATTAATGTTATTGTAGATCTGAACAATTTTCTAATTTTTCTGAAACAATTTAGGGACCTTGTATTAATAAATTTGCTTCCATTATTTGGCGCCAATGATCTCACTAATAATAACTTACAGACATTATTATTTTTTAGGTTTTTTTTTTCCTTCTTAGTTTTCTTACTTCTTTAGTATTTTTAATCTTTGAAGCTTTTTTTTTAGTCAAGCTGATGTAAAAGACTGAAAACTATCAAAACAAGCAATATTTTGCGACCCAATGTTTTTCTATTTATTTTATTTTTTATTGGGAAGCTGTTATTATATTCTGAAAAAACTAAATCCAATTCTATTTAAATTTTTTAATTAGTAATAATGTGCTTTTCAGGATATTGTAGAAATTACAAGAATGACATTAGTAGGACCATCTTATCGAGAAAGACTTATGAGTGCCTTAGATGCCATTATGGAACGAACTCAAGATTTTACTGATTCTGCTTACACATCTCATGCTCACAGAGAAAAAATTTTGCTTTTGTCGGATCGAGCCAGACTAGAATTAAATCAGCTTTTAAGAATTGGAATAGCATTGGTATTAATTTATTATGTACATTTCTGAAATGTTGAATGTTTCATTGATGATGTGACCCAAGAAAATGAAGTTTTGTATTTGTTATGTTTAGTTTGATTGCCAGAATGTTTAACCTTAATTGGTCACTTGAACTCATTTCTATGTATGACCTGTTTAGTTCCCTTTTCCTAACACAAATTAATTTGTCTGTTTTTTATATTGTTGCTAGGACCTATTCTATGCTTTACCTAAATATTTTTCACATATTCACTTTAGAAGTTTAACCATAATAATGTTAAACTCAATTCAAGTTTATTATCTAAACTAAACACGAGGTTTCTCACTAGTCGTATCTAAGATACAAAGCAATTACTCTAAATTTTCGTTTCTCCTTATTTGCTATGTTGATCAGTTCAAGCTACAATGGTGTCAGTCAAGACTCAAAAATTATGAAACCTGACATTTCCAGATAATGTAAAGATTCCAACCATATATATATGGTTTCTATGCCCTTATACGCCCTGCACGACATGTGAATATGCTATCAAAAATACTGTAAAATCCTCTCAAATTTTGAAGAAAATTTCTGAAATGTCGGATGGGGTGAAGAAAACCACACCAAAGGAGAACACAAAAGTATTCAGCCCAATTGCTGTGCTTAAGAAAATAATTTATATACAAGTTTATAATAATTTTTTAAAGTATTTCTGCACTTCTATTGAAGAATGTGCACTTGTTGATAGTAGTTAATAATTTAAATTTTTAATATATTTTTACAGAAAAATAATAAGGCCATTTATAATCATTTTTTGGGGGACCAGATAGCCTTGTTGGTAGGGTGCCAATGTATGAATGGTTCTGCCTTATAAATGGGCAGTAACGTGTGTGTGACTGAAATCGTATTCTTGGCCATAGATGACGTCACCAAAAAACAAGAAATGCACCCTCTGCCTTTAATTCACTTGATTTCAACAAGCAGACTTGCTTTTATTAGCAAGTGACATTAGAAACAACAACATTATCATTCTTTTAACAGAAAAGTATTAGGGCCATTCATTGTGTCATTTAATATGCATTCAGAAAATATGTTTAAGTGTATTAAAGTTCTATATAGTCATGTATTTTTCAGATTAACATTCTCATCAGGGCATGTAAAAAATTCATGTCGTTTATTGCCATTGTAGTAATAAATTCAAGACTCTATAATTTAGATATAGTGGAAAAGTTCTCATTTTTTATAGACCTTTCTGCACTCCATTCAGGAAAACAAAAAAGTGCCATTTACACCTAAATGAAATATGAATTTATTTATTTTTAATTAATATTTCTCTTCATCACGTTCATGCTATAGAAATTTTTTTCTGTGTAGGTAATTTTTTAAATAAAAAAAAATATTTGATCCACTTCAATATATCGAGTTCCACTTTACATTCTATGAACCATTATTTTTACAGTGCTTTGTGGCCTTATTAAAAATATTTTTACGAACCTGTGTTATACATTTTCTAATATATCTATTTTATACATTTGATTTTAAAAGAATGAATGACATATTAAAAACTCGTTTTGGTACACAAAATTTTTATTAAGCGAGAAAATTGTACTACCTTATTCAGTTAATATTGTTTTACATATTACCTAAACAGCAAAATGTTTTGAACCTATTTTATCATTGCATGCTAAGAGTATTTATAGCATATAACTAATCCTAGTTGTTATATGAGAAAGTTACATGTATTTTTTATATTTTTTTTTGGTTGAACTAATGAAAAAAATCTTTGACAATAATCAAGTTTTATGAAAGATTAGTTTTTTTTAATAGGATCAGGCTGGTTGTACTTCCCCAAATGAAGATTTGACTGCTGCTATACTAGAAGTTCTTAGAGGAACTAAGGATTTAAAGCAAGAGGTAAGAACAAAAAAATTTTCTGACTGCATTAGCATTATGATAATTGAGAATAATATATCATTTATGGTACAGACGTCTCAATTATATTGTTAGATCTTTTAGACTTTAAATCATAATACAAGGAAAAACTACAAATACAATTTTAATTATTCTTTTTTTCAAGAAAAAAGATTCAGAAATATGAAGTTTGTATTTCATAATTTTTACTGGATTTTTTTTAAACTTATTTAATTTATATGGAATGATTTTCCAAAATTTTTTGCAGAAATCTGTAACTTGATTTAACTATAAAATCTCTCTGGAATATTTTTAGCAATAATTTTGTCTGAAATTATATTTTAATTGAAAAAACAAATTTTCAATCATTAGTAGAAAAAATTGAACACTTGTGCTACCTGACAGTTTTGTATTTAATTTTAAGTTATTTCTGTTTACCACAAGTACACAAATCAAGTAAACAAATTTACATACGTGTTTAGTGAATTAAAAATAAATAATGCTAAGTAAGTGTTTAGATATATCACATCTTGCATGAGCACTCTTAGATTGGAAATCGTTTTTAAAATTTAACAACAGAAAAATAATGTTGAAGCTTAAGAATATTAAGTAAAGAATTCAAAATATTAAAGCAATTAAAAATAATAATAATACTATATATATATATATATATATATATATGCATTGAACTTTATGTTTTGTTCTTTATATTTTTAATAATTCAATGTTCCAATTATCATGGATGATTTTTTTTTTTTAAAAAACTTGTTATACTTCAAGTTCAGACGTAAAAATTCAATATTTGTTACTGTAGAGAACTGAATATTGATAAATAACTGACTTAACTTCATATAACTTCTTCTACTCCACATATCTGAAATATAATTTTTTCAGCTTCAAGATACTGCTTTGGATCAGGCTCAAGAACTTTTAAAGCTTTTTGAAGAAATAAACATTTTGAGTTTTTTAAAAGGTTCTGCTCTTGCTGGAGACCAGCAACAGTTGGAGGAATATTCTGAAAAGTTCATTGAGTATGCAATTCATGTACAAGATGTAAGGAAATGTTGACAAATTTATTATTGTATTTTTAGTTTTAGTGTCTCAATTTTTCTTCATGCATTGTAGATATTTTATTTTAGTTACTTTTTTATCAGTAATTGTATACATTGGAAGAAGATATTCTTAAAATTTCAAAGGGAAATTAATTTTTTTACTTGTCTGTTTTTTATCAGAACTGCACAGACTTAAGATATATTTAACAATATATTTTAACAATATACTTTAACAATATATTTTATTGTTCTTTAGAAATACTTTTTTGAAATGTTTGTTTTCAAGTTTTAATGAGCCAAGTAGATTTTTTTTCTTTTGAAAAAATTGTTTACCACAGCTTTGATCCATCATGGAATCAAGTCAAAGTTATAAACCCTTGTTCAACAAGATAAAGAATTGTAAAATTGTGAATAAGCCATATTGAAACTATAATAGATTCTTTATGTGAAGCACATGAAGGAAGACTATTATTTTTTCGATGTTACAATCATAGCTTCTGCAGTGCTGATTATGCATGCTACCATAAAGTTGATTTCCTTTCAAAATATTTAATACTTTCTATTCCAAAATATATCTACACTTTTAAACTTTTTGATAGAAATATTGCTTAGTTTTTGTTTTATTTAAATTTTTGAGTTTTGATTTAAATTATTATTTAAGGTATTATTTTTATGAGAACTAGACTTTTCGCATTATAATTTTTTTCCTTTAAAGTATTTTTGGTTAAAGAAAAATTTCTTAGGGAGAGATAAATATAAATTGTATTTTTGGGAGAGAGGCACATGAAATTATTTTCGTAAATTATACATTATAATCAAATTTCCTAATGAATTATGAAATGCTTTTTTTAGAGAAAAAAAAAGAGATGAGTTTTAAAAAATTTCTTAAGTTTTGAAGAATTATTTAAAGGCATGTACCCCCTCTTCCCCAACACAATGCTTATGATAACCTTAAGTTATTTTCCTTGTAAATGAATGTAGTCATTTTTGTCAGATGTAACTAATAATACAAAATAAAAAAATTTGCCTAGTGAAATGAATATATTGAAAAAGAATAATTTATATTTGTGCAATAATTTAAAGATTTATGAAATGTTCAAAGCTGTGTGCAAATATTTTTTCTTGCTTTTGTAATGGGCCAATCAGATTCAGTTTCATGAGTTCATCAATCATTATCTGAACAATTATTTATTAAAAAGTTATTAAGTCACAAAAATCGTTAAACTAATAATTCAAGAATTTTTCAATAGATTACCCTAATTTTGAATATATATCACTTTATTTTAAATTAATTTATTGAGAAAAAAAACTTATTTAAGGCATTAAAACTTGAAACACTATAAATTATTTCTAGCTAGGCTTTGAAACATATCTTCATGAAATGTTATGAAGTGGCTTATACTTTTGAAAGTTTATAATGTGTGCAATCTATTTTTAGACTTGCAAACTTCTCCAGCATATTGCTAGCACTGACTCATTACAAGTATCATCTAAAAACACAGAGTCGTGCCTGAAAGTTTTCACTACTCAGGTTAGTCTATTTAATACATTGATTTTTTTGCATGACATGCATTTTCGAACTCATAGAAGTTTAAGGTTAAATTTGCCATCAACTTTGTTATTTAGTATTAGAACTGTTTTTTTTTTTAATTCAAAAGAGTCTTAATAATTATGCAGTTATCTTATGCATTTTTTAAGTATCAAAATTGTGTAAAAATCATTAGATTTTTCATCTTGAACTTTTAATTTTAAGTAATTTAAGTGCAGTAAAAGTTTGTTATAACGACAATTCATAATAGTAGATGAAATTGTCACAATATCAAACAATCATATTTAATGCTAAAGTAGCAATAAAAATACTCAAAAATATTAAATAAACATATTACCTCTTTTTCTTTTATTCTGAACAACTATTTTTATTTGAAATACAAATATAGAGTAGACTGCTTTTGCCAGAAGATCTTACACTGAATTACTTAATTCTGTACTTTATGAAAGGCAGATATGCTTCAGATAGGAATGTTCGATTAATAAATTTTTGCAATAAGAAAATTAATAAGAAAGTACAATATTTTTTAACGTCATTGATAACAATGCATGTTGATTTCAATAGTTAATTTTCAGGTAGGAAAGGAAAGTCGGCATGACAGTCAACCAAAGATGAATTCTTTTGAAACACACAAGATTTCTAAAAATAGCGGAAGTTTTTTATTAAGAAGATTACCCTCAATTCACCCTCAAATTGCTTTGTAAAAATATGATTTTAAAATTATAAGAAATAAACGACGTTTGTTTTTTGCTTCTCTGTATTAATACCAGAAATAAATAAAAATATATTCCATTTAAGCCTTTTTCATGCTATATTGCAAACTTAAACAGCAGAAAAATGTATTTCCCTAAAAAAATTGCCATAATAATAGTAGGTTGGTAATTCCTAACTTGTTGTAAACATATGGTTTTTAAACCTTAAATATTATTATTTCAACAGTGACTGGGAAATTTGCTGTCATAGTGAACTTCCTTTAATATCCAATGCTCGTTATTTCAAACTTTTACTGTTCATGATTTACTTTAAAAAAGTTTTAAACTAAGTTATTTCTATGAATATGCTTTGTTTTTAATAGGTGCTGAATGCTTGTAGAACTGTTTCAATTCATCCTTTGTGTGAAATATCAAAAGAAAACCTTGAGGTATTCTTAGAAATGTGGAACTTATTGTGCCAGGATATTATATCTATGTACAAAGAGATTAGTGAACTTTGCAGGCGTGATATTCAATATAAAACAGTTTATATGTCTTTACCAAGACCTGGGGTAAATATTTATTACTAATATAGTATTTCATTCTTAAATTATTAATTCTTCCTTTGTTTAATTTGATATAATTCTAAGTTTTTTGCTGTCTTACATTTTATTAATATAAACTACATTTGTATTACATAAGCTATTATTTTAATATATTAATGAAGAAATTATGTATGCATTTTATTGAATATTTCATTTAAAATTGTTATCTAGAAACATGGCACAACTAGTAAGCAACTGAAACCTGTGAAACTTGATGTTGAGGTAATACTACTTTCTTTAATCATTTCTAAAAGACTTTTAACTAAAACCTTCTTTGAATTTTTCTTGATAATAAAAAAAGTTACATTTTACACATTTAAGTTAAATTTTATTTTGAAAACTTAGCTTCCTTCTGTTTTTAAACAACACAGATCAGGTTGTGGTATTTTCCAGTAATTTTTTCTAGGCATTTTTATTTGAGGCAACTTTTTTCCATATTTTTTTTCAAGGTGTCAAGACCCCTTTCAACATAATAATTCATTGTTACGATCTTCCTGTATGCCTTCTTGTGGATTTAACCAAAGAATTTCTTTTGCATAGACTATCCTCAGACATTCTAGCTACATAAAATTTAGAATTCAGTAGTAATAACTTCCAAAAAAGCGATTTTTAAAATCACTTAGAATTTTTGCTATCGGAATGCATCAAAGGCAGTTATTCTAATGTGTGATTCAAAGTTTGCTAGGTGTAATATTTTACTTTCAAATTGTTATACTTTTTAAATACCAAACATAAAAGTTAATTTTTCAAGTGATTTAAAAAAGAGAAAACAAGTCTATTTGTATCGCACATCTAAAACGAGAAGCATAGGGTGCATCGCTTTCAAAATATGTTAGAGGAACTGTCGTAGTAATAAAAGTTTATTATGATGGTAATGCGTCATATACTTTTCATTGTAGGTGTGATTAAAATATAATTATTTTCTCCATTTAAATTTTTATTATTTTTTTCTTTCAAGTTTTGCGTTTGTTAGTTTAGTTGTGATCACATTAAAATAAACTGCAACAAATTTTTTGGACAAATCTGCGAAATAAACCCGCCATATTTAACATCTAAAATGTTTCATTTTAAAATAATTTGGACCTGAGACAGAGAGAAGCAGGACCAGACTAAGGTGGATTGACTGCATTAATGATTATTTCAAAGCACTGAGAGTGAACAACTAAAACATCCTTTCGAGGAGAAAAGCACAATGGAAGAAATCTCAATGAAGATCTTGGCTCACAAAGACCAGTTATGTCAATGAAGACAAAGAGAATTTTATTAATTAGCAGATTAGTTGTTCATACTAGAATTAGTAGAAGTTTTGATCAGCATTAAAAGGGAGATAAATTTTGCTTACATCATAGCAGAAGCTCTTAATTAAACATTTTGCTATTAGTTTATCACAACAAAAAGCATGCTTGATATCAGTATTCCTCGTTGTTTAACAGTCCATGCCTCCATGAACTCAAATAACAACATTGTTTGTAATTAGGTAGCTATGGATTTCCATACTCAAAGCTGAATGCTCAACAGTCAGAATTTGGTAGTAGCCATTTTTTTCACCAGCAACTTTCCATCAAAGACGCTTCATTTCTAAAGAAACATAGACCAGATCACTCCCCTGAAAATGACGCCGTATGTCATGTCCGTCGTCTGAGCAGTGATTTTATGATCATATTCCTAGTTATGAAGGCATGAGAGAAGCATCCATCAGTGAAAGCAAACATCCATCAGTAGAAGCTTCTATCTAAGTTGCATGACACATATGCCAATAACTACTATATAAAATTAACTATATTAGAAAACTTGAAAATAAAAATATATGCTAACTCTTTGATTATGAGGTGCAAGGAGACAGCTCTACCTTTGGCACAAGCCTGTGTCATTATCAAAACAGGTATAAAGAAAACCTCTAAAGTAAACAAATAATGAGTTTTGGTAAGTAATGTCAAAAGATGCTTTTGAACTCGTTGATCTGTGGAACATTACCAACATTTGGAAAAATTTTAATTCTTATTGCCGCCAGGCTCCTGTTGAAATTTGAGCACTCTAGCTATCCTGAAAGTGATTGAAATTTCGATTAGCAATACAGCTTGTAGCACTAAAGAAATGATTGAAGCTTGTGTTATCAGCAAGGGCAATACTCCAGTTGAGATTAATAATTTAACTTAAACAAAAACTAAAAATTTTTTTTTTGCTATATGATTTAAATCAATGTTCTTGAACTTTTAATTTTAAGNAAAAATTATCGTATTTTATATATATATATTTCAATTGATTTTTTTAAAAAAAAAAATTTTGTTTTATAAAATTACTGTATCATAGTAAATCTAAAACAAGTTAATCAGATTATGTTTTTCGAGAGAAAAATTTACAAAAAGGTATTTCTTAATTCACAGTTTTATGAATAATCGCAAACGAATTATGTCTTAAATATGTCTTAACGGCTGTGAATTATGTAATAAAAATAGTTGTTTTTATCAGAGTTGCTGTGATTTAGAGCAACTGATATTTATTTTTTCAAAAATAATTCATAGAGTTTGAATAATTCATTGCAGTTAGGAGATTTGAGATATAATTAGTTTGTGATTATTTATAAAACTATTATTTATGCAGATCTTTTTGTACATTTTTCATTCATAAAACATATTCTGATTTGTTTGTTTTAGTTTTATTATTGGTATTTTATGAAAATTATTCAGATAAATCATTATTTATTAATTGTATCTAGACAGATTGTAAAAACGTAAATTTTAAAATGTTAATAAATAAGTAAATAATAAATAAGTAAATAATTAAAATTGTTCATGGCAGTTTGCTAGATCATATTTGTTTCATTTCTTTTTTCTTTGTTGAATAAATCTTTAATTAAGATTTTTTCTGCTAAATAAACCAATTTTTATTTTTTTGATATAAATAAATAAGATGATTTAGTATAAAGAATTATTTAATACTTTTGTAATGTATGTCTTTACTTATATAAAAATGTAACTGCATTTATGTTTTTTTCATCTTCTTTTGCACTTTTCACTGTTTTTGCACTGTTCTGAGTTAGGCATTCTCTCTCACAAACATTAGCTTTTTTAATAAATTTTTATGATGTGAAATATTATTTATTATTCATTATATTTTTAATTAGCAGTGAAATATTTGTATCATTGTAATATTTTGAATTAATAATGCGTCTTTTGTTTATATTCCTATGCTTTCATTCAGGAACAAGCAAAGATAGCGAAACTTGGTTTGGAAATGAAGCTATTAACTTCTGAAATCGATGCAGAGACTGAAAGATGGTCTTCGTCAGAAAATGATTTGTGTAAAAAAGCTCGAACTATGTCTCAAATGGCATTTTGCATGTATCAGTTTACAAGAGGTGAAGGGGATTTGAAAACTACTCAGGTATTAACTAATTCTATATTTTAAATTATTAATTAGAAATAAAATTAGAGTTTTTTTTTTACAGATTTATGTTTTCCAGGTCAACATTTAACCAAAGTATTTCATTTAAGTCAAAATATTTGATAGTCAAAATATATAGTAGTCAAAAGCAATCACTCTAAATCACTGATCATGCCTTATTAATATTTATTGCAAAAATACAATATATTTGTGAATATAAGCCCATGTGCCTTTTTTTTTTCAAAAATTTACCGTAAACTCAAAACTTATATAACAATTTCCTGTGTGTAGTATTTGATTAATCTTCCATCTTATTCAACGAACTATTCAAAGCTCATCTAACAGATTAAGTAAAAAATAAGTGCTGTAATATGAAAACAAACATTTCTTTTACGCTAAGACGATTAACAACTAGCTCTTACCACTATATGATTGGTTTTAACACCTTTATCGCATCAATGACATGTGCTTTTGTCCCATCCTCTGTCCTAAGTTTATCTGTGGTGCTTAATTTGAAACAAAATGTAAATTCTTTTAAAACTTATTTATTTTTCTTTAGAAAAATAATATTCGATTCCAATTAATAATAATACTCATTAATATAACAATAGCTCACAGCAAGTATTCCTGAAAGACAAGTTATCTATCGCAATGAAAGAGTTAATGGTTCATTTAAGTTTTGTGCTTAAATTTTAGTTTTATCTATTTTAAATTTTACTTCTCAAGCTATGCTATTTTTTGTGTATATTTCAGTACTTTGTTACCTGGGTGTTAAGTAGACCGCTCTCTTAACCTTTAAAAATAGTTTAAAATTTTTGGTATTCAATTTCTAATAGTTATATCTACCTCCCCCTCCCAATTGTTATTTAATCATCATCTCATTTTACTTTACATAATCTTATTTAAACATCAATTCAACAATTTTGTTTGTTTAATTTGCACTATTCAGAGTACTACAATGAATAAGAGGAAGCCAAAAATGGTAGAAAATTTGGTTTTGAGCATTAGTCAAGGAATAATAAACTTTTTCGCTCAACCTGGAGCAATCTTATAATAAACCTGAAAAATGGTTAATTATTGAATTAACGAAAATCTTAAGTTAAGCATTGTACTTAGGTTAAACACTTTTTCTCTTAATTTTTATGGTAAACCATTTTTAGACTTATTTTAAACCAAAAACCGATCTTTGATTATTATTAACATGACCATCTAAAGTGTACTTTCCAACTGATAATGAAATTTCACAAGAGAATCTATCTCCTTTTGTTATTTTTATTATGCTATAAGGTATCTCCAAACGTGTGTATCTACCCATAATGGTAGTTTTTTTATTACAAATTTAATATTTATGACAGAAATATTTAAGGTTCACACAATTATGGTGGCATAGTGATAATTTTTACAAAGTCAGACGTAACAAAACAAAATTGTCCAGATAATTTTGAACATGAAAATATTACAGTTTATTTTGATTTTTATAGTTACAAATGACATAATAATCGATAAAACTAGTGTGATATTTTTTAAATTTGATTACAATAATAAATAAAAAGAAAACTATTTGTCTTTTGCTCATTTAAATTGCCAAAAAGTGGAAAAAGTTGTAAGAAATATACTTGTAAGAGACTTCAGTTGTCAAAAAATATATGTATTTTTGCTATTATAATTTTTAGGACCTTTTTACTCAAGCAGAATTTTTTGCTGAAGAAGCTAATAAACTCTATAAATTAGTTCGCCAATTTTCCTATCAGGTTAGTAATTTTTCATTATATATTTGCCATTAAGAAACTAGTTCTAAAAATACCAGAGAATTTACCCTAAAGTTTTTAAAATAATAAATTTAGTTGGATTTTTGTAATGTGATATTTTTTATAAAATTATTGTAAATTATATGTAAAATATAGCCTTATATTATTTAAACCCATTGAAGATGCTCTCATGTTTCATGGATTCTAATCCTGAACTTGGTGATTCATTTAATATATCAAGTTATGAGTATGTAGAAAATTATATCTTGTCAAATTATACAATTTTCTATTGAAATTTTGAAACATTTATAATAAGTATTTTGAACATATATAAATGCACATTTGGATTTACAGGTTCCTGGTGGTCAACATAAAAATGAACTATTAGAGTTTCTTGATAAGGTTCCTACATTTGTTCAACAACTGCAGTTCACTGTAAAAAATCCTACTGTAGGAAAAGCAGCTACCTTTACCAAAGTAATTTATCCTTGTTTTTCTATTTGTTTTGTATTTTTAACTTGTTGAATATTTTTTATTTCAATTTATATATTACTATTAATGGAGAATTCATCATAACTAATCATATGATCAGTTTTCTAAATATTTTATAATATATAAATGTCCTACCAACTAACGTTGAGAACATTAATATTATTCATGAATTATGTTCAATTGTAAATTCTGTTTTCAATAATCATATTCTTATTAATGATAATGATAAATCATCCCCTCTTAAAAATAATTGGACTACACTGGTCTACACTATAACATATGTTTTCAAATATCTTAGAATAGTATAGTGCTGTTGATTTATAAGGAAAGTTTTGTAATGAATGTAATTTTATTTATACAGGTTGACAATGTGATACAAGAAACTAAGAACTTAATGAACGTCATTTCTAAAGTTGTTTCTACTTGCCTGTTTTGTGCCACAAAGGTGATAAGTTTTCAGCAATTAGATAAAAAATTTATGTTTAATTTGTGATTTTTTTAAAAAGTTAATTTGCTGTTGATGCTAGGTATAATGGCCCTGTCATCCAATCTGAAACAGACATTATAACTTGTGGTTGTTATATCATAAATGTACAAGACGTATCATAATTTATTTCTTATAATTCATATCAGTATATGTGTTATTTATAGTTCTAATTTAAATAATACCTTTTAAATAAAATATACATGAAATAATATGCTAAATCTTTAACAGTTTTACACAACTTTGCTGCTACTTTAGAGTTTAAGGCAAATCCACATTACCACTAACTATGTTTCAAGTTTTGTACAGATCTAACAAAAACTCTTGCTCTAAAAATGAAACTTAGTCTCTTATAAGAAAGTTATACATTGGGAAATCTTTATAGTTACATTTGCAAGTATCAAATTAAGTACCCCTTGAATGGCCTTTGAAATCATTGATTTTTTTTAAAAATAACTTTAGTGGATTTAATAAGTTTATTAATGCTATTCTATGTCTTAAGATAACTTTTAATAAGTTTTGCAATCCATTGTTCAAATAGATGCATTTTATTGCTGCATTTTCTTTCCATATCAATTTTATGTCAAAAATTTGAAAAAGTGGAAATTTCATAAAGAATGGAGGATATTTAAAAATTGTTTGAATGAAAAATTATTTTTTGCTTCAAGAAACTAAAGCAAAACTTTTTAAGGGTCAAGAATTGAAAATTTAAAAATTTTCAGAAGTGCCAAAATTGACACTGTCTGTATAGTATAAATTTTGTGTTTCTAGATAGATGTTAAGATTTAATTAATTGGTTTAGTATGTAAAACACTTTATTTGAAGCCATCCGGCTACTATGGGCGGTTTCATGGTTTTATTCTCTGTGTAATGCAAATGCACATTGGTTTCCCAAGGTTTTCATGATTGTAAATTCGCCGCAAAATTAACTTGATGTTAAAGTTACTTTATCTGCTGGAGATTCAAAATAATTAGGATACAGAGATAGAATCAAAATATTAATGACAACAAAGGCGCTATATGTATGTTCTGTCCAGCATGGGAAATAAGATTAAATTTCCCATGCAGTATCGTAAAATGTAAGTGATTTTACTTACGTAGATCTGATTGTATGTGAGTTATGTTTATAGTTATCAGATGATTTAAAATTAAACCCTGGTAGTGAAAAGATTTTTCATTTAATAAACTGTTATTTTATTAAAATATCCAATGTTTAACAGAAATTATAATCACAAATGCCATTGAATACTTAAGTAAATCAAATGAAAACTAAACAATTTTTTTAATAAATAAAAATTTTAATTTTTTGAAATTGTGCAATTGTGATAATTCAAAAACCTTTTAGTTCTATCATAACAAAAAATGGGACAGAATGCAGTAGTATCCCTATGTCTAGGGAAAAAAGATAGAAAAGAAAAATAAGATAGATAATTAGAAAATAAGATTTTTAAAAAAAATTTAGATGTTTATTTGATCAGAGATTTAATTGCAAAATCTTTAAAATAGACAGAAATGTTTTGTACAGAAAATACTAATTTGAAAATTCCTATTTAAAGAAATAAATTTTGAAATTAACAGGTATCACTTTTGCAGATTAAAATGCCTATTAAAATATTGTTATTTAAGAAAAAAATTAATTTAATGATTAAATAGACAAATATATCAAAAACGTTTCTTTTATTTTTAATACAGTTTTTATCAATTCACTTTCGGAAGGGGAAATTTTGTAATCAAAATTATTCCAACAAACCACTTTAGCCAGTGCAATTAAACTTCTTTTTGCAGCACTATGCCTGTTGGCAATGAAGATTTTAATGGTATCATTATAACAGTATGACTTTTATCGCTAAATAGAATTTTTCGTTTATCTAAATTTTTGATCACTTTCAGAATAACTTAGGTACTCTAATTTCAACTGCAGCTCTATGTCCGAGAACAATAAAAGTTTTAATCTTTTCCTGACTACCACAAGTAGGATTTGTCAATATCATCGCTTCTGAAATATATTGTTATTGAATGATTTTACCATTTTTTGACTAGCTAGTATGTTTTAATTTTAACTGTAGCTCTGTGTTGGATGACAATACAAGTATCAATCATTTTCTGAGCAGCTATAAACAAAATTTTTCCAGCTATTTCAAATTCCTTTGAAATCAAAATTTCGATCATTTTCTAACTAACTTTCGTGCTCAAAATTTTAGCTAGTGGCTGATGCTAATCTAATTTGATATTTTTTTTCAAATAATGTGATCAAAATTATTAACAATATTGTCGTTATATTTATGGAAATTTCTATCACTTTTAAGTACAAACTCAAAAAATTTACAACATAAAACTAAAACAAAGATTATAAAACTACTTTTTTTAAATGTTTTAAATTGTAAAAATGTTTTAATTTCTGTCAGACCTAAAATGGGTATCAATTCTTAACTTTAGACCTCAGAAAAAATTAAAATTGTTTCATATTTAGCCCACTTTAAAAACATAGCTGTAATAAATTTTAATTTGTTGTTTTTAAATGTCTATAAAACTCTTATAAACCGGCTAATATTTTTACCTGTGCATTTTTAATAAATAAAGGTTGAAGTAATTTATCTTAGATTGCTTACCAATTAAGAATGATAATAATATTACAAATTTTAAACTGAGATTGTTTATCATTAAAAGAAGCTTAAATTTTACAAAATTAATTACAATTTTAAAATTAGCTACAATTTTAATTTAATTTCTTAACTGTGAGGTCAAAGCAGACAATTAAAAAATATATCTATCTATTTTATTTACAATTAGAATATTAAAATGGTTTTTAAAGCACACTTTATAAAATTATCCCTCTCATCGTCAGCCATATTTTGCGCTTTTAGTTTATGTAGCTGCCACTTTTAGCAAGACATATCTACTGTTAGCTAAAAAGTATGTGTTTTATTAAATTAGAGCTCTTATTAGTATCAGATTTAGAACTACTGGGCCAGGTAATAAATACAGATTTTTTCACGTTTCTGGAACTGGCCGGGTAACAAATAAAAGTTTGTCGGGTAAAAGATTTCATTTTTACTATTTACCCAGAGCTGTGTCCTCAAAAATTTAAAACCTAGTGCAATATGAAGGAAAAAAAAACAGATCACCCTGAATAACTTTTGATGATTAGTGCAGACAACAAGTCAAACACAAAATGTACTTTCTCTATTAAGCATACCTTTTTATGGTTTATGGATTTTGACCTCCAAAATATGGAATTTTGGCCCCACTAGTTCAGTCAGGAGAGTGATACGAAGTTTGGACCCCTTAATATCCATTTTAATTTTTGCTTATTTTACCATATCTTGAAAATTTTTTAAGGGAGTTGAATAATTTTTCACACAATTATAAGATTAGTTTATGCAAAAAATAGCTTTTAGTTAATATTTATTATTTTTTGTTGTAAAATCATTATTTTATTTGAATTATGAGGTATAGACTTTTTAACATCAACTTAAGGAATGTAATATTACATAGTCTATCCAGAAGTTGAAATAAATATTAAAAAAAAGTTGTTTTTTTTTTCAAATTTATATTAATTATTTGCATAGAATTATCTTTGGATAAACATATTTTATAATTGTGGGCAAACATATTTCGATTCTCTTAAAAAGTTCTCTAGATATGCTATGAATCAAGCTATATTGAAGGAACAGATTTTTTTTTTATAAAAACGCATTTATTTGACGCAACAATCACACATCAATAAAGCAAAAATAAATTAAAATACCCATAACGGGTTGGTATAAACTTTGCAAAAATAAACTTAAATACCTGTAATAGAATTGTATGAGTATCAACCTTAAATACAAACAAGAAACTATTCTCAGAACAAATCAACTAATTCCAACTCTCTAAACTAATCAACAAATTCCAACAATTGTTTTATTCTTTTATTTCTTGATCTCGTTATATGTTTTTTTTTTATTCATGCTTGTGTTAACTAGATATTTGTAAGTCTTTATAATATGCAAAAAGTAAAATTAACATTTAAGAATCCAAACTTAACACTGTTCTCCTGAACAAACTAGTGGGACCATATTTACTATCCCTCTATATTTTGATGGTTACGAAACCAAATCTGTCGAAAAAAGGTATTCTTCAAAGAAAGTGCGTTTTTGTGACAGATTTTGTAACTTAAAATATCAGTTGCACTAATTAATTAACATATTTAAGAGGACTCTCAGGAACCATTAAGATTGAGTCCTAGAAAGTGAGGATCCAATGATTAGATCAAAAGTTATTCTGAATGTTCCAATTTTTGCACATTGTATATCTGTACTTAGCAGCATTTTCTGAAAAAAAAAATCCTTTTATAATGCCCGAACAGCTTTTGAGATATCAATATCATCTGCATAGAACAGAATTAGTATTGATTTTGAGAATAACTTATCAAAATTATAGAAGTGATATTTGATAAACGTAAATTAAAATCTTCTAAATGGGCTTAAATTTTCGAAGTAAATATATATCTATTACTGAAATGTTTTAGTTTAAAATCTCTTTGTTTTTAATTGGTTGTATAATTTTTATAACAAGCAATATTTTCTTTTTTCAGTACAATATTGACTTCCATAGTTTAACTAGTCGAGCTCAAATCATATCACCATACCAAACTGAATTGGATGACTATATGTCTGAAAAATCTAATCTACTTAACAATATGTCTACCAAAGACTCTGGACAAACATCATCAAAGACTAACATATGACGGTTTGGTCTTGGTCCCCAAAAATTTCAGAGGGACCCGCATCGTACTCGAGTTTCATTTTTGCTGTATTAAATATGAAACAAATGCTTATGAGTCACAAAAAAGTATTATGTGAATTAATATTTGATTAATGCATTTATGCCAGAGCATTAACGCATCTAAATACTATGTGTATTTTTGTGGTTACTAATGTTTATGAATGTTTGTATGTATTTATTTAAAATGTGTGCATGAATTATTTAAGGACCATTAATTTTTTTTTCATTGAAAATAAATATATGTGAATCTGTGCATTTGTGTATTATAGGTGTAAAATGTATTCTTACTTAATGCATTGTGTAAATGTAAAATCATTCATAATAAGCTCAATTTAGTTAGAGCAATATTTATTCACGATCAATTGTGTAAAGAATTTGGTACAACAGGATACTATTTTTTCTAACTGAAAGTAAAAAAAAGTATTTGCAATTGATTGCCTCTGAAAATTCTTTAATAACTTTCAGGATCATTTTGAGAAATACTCTATATTTTAGAATTTAACACTACAAATTTTTATTTGTAAAGTAGAATTGTATTAGTTCTTTAAAGAAAGAATTAATTCCAAAATATTTTAGGAGCAAAAATCTTTTATACTTTTACTCCATTACTTATATTTATTTTTTACCAAGCATGATAATTCTTAATACTCTTTGTTTGTTATAGCTAGTATGATAACTAACAGTAGAAAAGAATACATTTCATTGTTTTAATATTTGTTACCTTTTTTAAATTGCTACTTGTGAAGTTCATAATATCTCTGATTCATTGTCAAGACTTCCTCACTTCATTACTTTTGATTAAAGAAACATAAAAATATTACAGTATATTGCAAAAACCTTTGTAATTTACTATGATTTAGACTTTTGCTTTGATACATCTGTTGGTGGAATTTCGTTAATTAGATACAAATCCTTAGTGATTTATTTATAAATGCTCAAAACTACATTTAAGGGTTCTAGTTTTATTTTGCATAGCAGCCTCTTGTGTTAGCACACAATGAAACTTTATTCCCTCCTCAAGGTTGCTATCATTATTTCTAAAAAGGCATTATAGATTTGTGAGTAAATAAGACTTGAATAAGACGTGAGAATTCCCAGAGCAACTCTATTTCTTAACTTTGCCTTTTTAAAAATCCATCTTTTGATACCAGGTGATGCAACATCTAAATAACTTTTATACTTAAGATCAGATTTTAGCAGACTTATATGCATTCTTAATTATTTAAAAAGTATGCCTTAAATATGCTGCAAACTATATTTTGAGTTATGAAAACAGACATGAAAAGATATTTTTCGATAAAATTCTTTTAAGTTTTTTAAATTATGCTTAGATATTTTTCTAAAATTTGGGTTCAAAATTTGAGTTCAGGCTCTGAGTTTAAATTAATGTGACTGCTTTTGTATTTGCACTTCAAATTTGCATGAGTATCATACAATTAAGTCTTTTTAGCATATCAACCTAACAAGTGTTATGAGGTCAAGTTCAACTGTCACTTCAGAAACAAATCTTCCTCTAAGTCAAATTAATCGAAATAATATACTTTGCTTTCATTTTTATGTATTTGCATTTCATAAGGTTCTGCTTTAGTTAAATATTTAATTAAATACAGCAATTAAATATAACTTAATTGTAATTCAAACTAAAATACATTATGCATTCCGTATAACGATCTTGGTTTTCCAAAGCAAAACAAGCATTATATTGTGAGGTTAGTATTTCATGAGTTAAAAACTACTTATTCAATTAAGACAAACAATGCTATACTTTATTAGGAATTATGAAACTAAACGAATACTTCTTAAATAGCAGATGCAGCTTATTTTTTATGTTAATATATGCAAGAAAATACGATGAAAAAATATTAAAATTCAGGCAGTAATTTTTTATACTAGCATTCACCCAACTAATTGTGAAGACCACATGATTTTGAACTTGAAAGTAAACTGCCTCAGGTGATTCAACTTTCTCAAAAAAGTGAATAAAATTTTAAAGCAATTAAAATATGATTGATAAATTCATTGTTTCCTTTGAAACTAAATTTACCAAGATAGTGCATGCCTTTTTTTAACCTAATGAGTGCACACCACACTTCATGACTGTGCAATATACACTATTGATTGTAGCTGTGAAGTGATCCATACTTTATTAACTTTCTGACTAATGATCACAACCACCTTGGAAAAGAAAATAGGAGATCTTGTTATTTTTCTTTTCATTCTAAGAAAACGCATGATGTTTGACATTTGAGATGCAGTAACATGAAAAGAAATGGTTATTTCAGTAATTTGTTTCAAACTTTAGCAAAATTAAATTATTTTTTTGATGGCTCAAAAATGTTTGACACATTTATTAACAAAATGATTTTCAAGAGAAATAAATAAATTTAAATTTTGATGTCTATATTGGAATGAATAGTTCATGTAGACATTCTAACGGATGCTAAAATAACATTGTGTGGCTGAAGTTGCTAATAGGACTTCATTAGTATTTAAAATGTAACTGATTTTTGGTCGTTATATTGGAATGAACAGTTCAGTGCAGATGTTCAAGTAGATTTTAAAATAACATTTTGTCTAAGAAACAGTTAATAAAAAACTTTATTTGTAGTTACAATGAAGATTGTGCTAAAAATCCTATTCTGTAACTAATTTTTGTTTGCTTTAATGCATACCCTCCAACTTATGAGGATTTTGAAAATAATTCTTTCTAGTGGTAGCGAACCAAAGTAGAAATTTTTAAAGCAAATGGATCTCTCATAAAACTTTTATCAGAACTTAAGAATCTAAACATATGGCCTGCACTTTTATTAGTAATAGTGGACAAGTTACGATAAGATTAATTTTTTTTAAATATTAAGACATTAATTTTGCTACCGTCTGAAAAGAAGATTTCTGAAACTACGGAAATTCCGTAGCAGTTGGAGGGTATGCTTTAATGGCTGGTATTTATTTTGATTGGCTAGTTTGCTTTAGAATGTTTTTCAAAGATACCTTATTGCTATTGTATAGTCAGTTTTTTGTTTTAACTCTCTGCTTAGATTTTTTGTTTTTGCATTTAGAAGTAGAATTGTTCATAAATTTATTTTAGCTGATTAATAGACTTTATTAGCTTTAATTTAATGGAGTATTTTTTTATTTTCTTCTACTTACCAAAAGTAACTAATCTTTTTCTAAATATATAAGTTATTAAATAATTTTTTACATACTATGCTCAGTAACTAAACAACCTGAATAATTATTAATCAAATGTTTGTCCATTTATCATCATCATAGTTGGCCAGACAGCCCTATGTGGACCAATGCCTTCCTCCGAAGATTTCTCCATAACGGCTTCCGATTTATCTTTGATCTCCAATTCTTTTCATTAATTGTAAAAAAATCAGACACATCCGAGTCAGCCTATCTCAACCATGTCCTTCCATGCTTTCTTGTTCCAGTGGGTCTAAAAAGCAATATATTTTTTAATTGTATTGTCATCAAATCACATGGGCCATTCAATTCATTCTATTTATTTTTATGTATTTAATAATGTTTTCCCATTACAAATTCTATTTACTTTTAAGAGTTAAAGTATAATACAAAATAGTTTTAAAGAAATAAAAATTTTAAAAAATTGAATTTCTTAATTTTACATTAAATTTTGTATATGAAACTGTCTGCACTATCTGTTCTCCCCCTTTAATATCCTTAGTCAAAGGTGTTTAGACAAGCCTCCTAGTCATAAACATTATTTTTTTCAACCTTTAGCCCTTTTGTACAGGCTTGTACTAATAATATAAGGTGTCTTAAAATGGGCATCTATAAATAACAGAAAAAAGTTAGTCATACTGGCTATTACCTGATGGGTTATTTGACTGTATTAGTAAACCTCCTGTGAATATTATATTGACATTTTGTTAAATGTTTTTTATCATTGTTTTTTTAAACCTTTTCTCATTAACATTCTTTGGCAGATTTGTACTGTTTAGTCCCAAAGTAACTAAGAACTTCCATGAATTTCAACTCAGGACCATCAGTAAATACTTATTGAAATTTGGTATGTTCATAACTTATAATTTTTTTTCCAAAATTTATATAAATAACATTCAATATTGAAAAACATGATTTATATTGTAGCTGTATAGCTTTAATTGTCAAAATATTGTGATTGTGAACATTCCATTTTAAATAAGAACCACAATAATCTGGTTGATTATGATTTTGATTGAAAAATTTGAATACATTTTAGCACTATAACATTTTGATAGTTTACACACTTTCTGTTGTGTTTTTTCCCTGTGCTTTAATTTTCTTGTATATATTTTGAATTTCTCATTAAATTATGCTGGTCTTATTTTATTCACCAATTTTCGTTTTTTAAAATATTCCTTTTGCATTTTGTAAATAATATATGATGAGAAATTGAATTTGATAATCTTAAAATGTCTATTTTAAATAATGTAGTGTTAAATGGTAAAGAAAATAGCTTAATATTTCTCTTATTCATATCCAATTTTAGAAGCTCTTGATGCTTCCAATGTTGAAGTGATCTTTGAAAAGACTTTAATATTTACTTTGACTTAGAAATTGGCTCTCCCAGGGGAAGAGGTTGGGAATTATAACCCCCTGGCTAATCTAAAAATTTCTATTTTAGATAATGTAGTGTTAAAAGGTAAAGAAATAACTTAATATTTCTCTTATTCATATCCAATTTTGAAAGTTCTTGATGCTTCCAATGTTAAAGTGATCTTTGAAAAGACTTTAATGTTTACTTTGATTTAGAAATTGGCTCACCCAGGGGGGAGAGGTTGGGAATTCTAGAAATGTCTATTTTAGATAATGTAGTGTTAAAAGATAAAGAAATAACTTAATATTTCTCTTCTTCATATCCAATTTTGAATGTTCTTGATGCTTCAATGTTAAAGTGTTCTTTGATTGAACTTTAATACTTACTTTGATTTAAACATTGGCTCACCGTGGGGTAAGGTTGGGGGTTATAAACCTCTAAAAAAACACCATTAAATGGAACATTTTTTTTATTTATTTCCATAATTTTTTGTGTTTTGCATATAATTTATTTATTTTGAAATTTCTTACATACTACATTTTGCAAGAAAAAAAGTAAGTACCTTGTTCCAATTCTGATTTTATTCTTTTTTTCCAAAACAAATCTCTTTTTCTTGACAGTTTAACCTTTTTTTCTCCTCTTGACCTTTTAAAATGCAAGAGATCAGGCTGGAACCCTAAGGTGCTATACATTAAATTTCCAAAAACGTTTTGCTAGTATTGTTATAAAATGAGCATTTCATAGGTGTGTGGTGAGAAGGATCATTTGGTAAATTACTAAATAAGTAATCTGGCAGCTATGACAAGTGCAACTACTTATCAAACAATCTTATTTTTTGTACAGTATTGCAGCTTTGTATATGTACAATACAATATTAAGAACAG